ATATATACCCCTCCTGTCCTACAATAAAGGGCTCCCACTCCTGCTGTATCAATCTACACAAGTTGCTCATCACCCCCTGGTTATTTTGCTGCAGCTGGACTGCGGCAAATAGCCTTTACAATGTTGAGGTGTGTTCCTGTTATTCCTAGTTTTTCTAGCATTTTGAACATGAAGGGTTGCTGTATTTTATCAAATGCTTTCTCAGCATCTATTGAGATGATCATATGATTCTTATCTTTGAGTCTATTGATGTGATGAATTACACTTATTGATTTCTTTATGTTGAACCAACCTTGAATCCCTGGGATGAACCCCACTTGATCATGGTGCACAATCTTTTTGATATGTTTTTGTATTTGATTTGCCAGAATTTCATTGAGAATTTTTCATCTGTATTCATTAGAGATATTGATCTGAAGTTTTTTTTCTTTGATGTGTCTTTGCCTGGTTTTAGAAATCAGGTTGATATTGGCATCATAGAATGAGTTTGGAAGTGCTCCCTCTTTTTCTATTTCCTGAAATAAATTGAAGAGTATTGGTATTAATTTTCTTTAAAGGTCTTTAGAACTTGGCTGTGTATCCTGGGCTTTTCTTGGTTGGTAGGTTGCTGATGGCATCTTCTATTTCATTGCTTGAAATTGGTCTGTTTAAATTGTGCATATTATCCTGATTCAATTTGGTCATATCGTATGACTCTAGAAATTTGTTGATGCCTTCGATATTTTCTGTTTTATTGGAGTACAAGTTTTCAAAATAATTTCTAATTATCTTCTGTATTTCTGTAGTGATATTTCCTTTTTCATCACATATGTTAATAATTTGAATTTTCTCTCTCCTTCTCTTTGTTATCATGGCTAAAGGCCTGTCAATTTTATTTATTTTTTTCAAAAAACAACTTTTTGTTTTGTCAGTTTTTTGAATTGTTTCTTTTATTTCAATTTCATTGATTTCAGCTCTGATTTTAATTATTTCCTGTCTCCTACTGCTTTGGGAGTTGGTCTGTTCTTCTTTTTCTAGGGCTTTGAGATGTACTGTTAGTAATTTATTTGTTGACTTTTTCTTCTTTGAAGGAATTAACTCCATGTAATAAACATTCCTCTTAGAACTGTCTTTATAGTGTCCCAGAGATTTTGATATGTTGTATCAGTGTTCTTGTTTACCTCTAAGAATTTTTTAATCTCTTCCTTGATATCTTTTGCAATCCATTGTTCATTCAATAGCATATTATTTAGTCTCCAGGCTCTGGAGCAGCTTTTATTTTTTATTTTATCACCAATTCCTAATTTCATTCCATTGTGGTTTGATAGAATGCAGGGTAGTATCTCTACTTTTTTGTATTTACTAAGATTTGCTTTGTGGAATAATATATGGTCTATTTTAGAGAAGAATCCATGTGCTGCTGAGAAGAAAGTGTATTCGCTTGTTGATGGATAATATACTCTATATGCGTCAGTTAAGTCTAAGTTATTGGTTCCATTATTGAGTTCTATAATTTCTTTGTTTAGCTTTTGGTTGGAAGATCTATCCAGTTGTGAAAGAGGTGTGTTAATGTCACCCAGAATTATTGTGTTATGATCTATTTGACTCTTGAACTTGAGAAGAGTTTGATGAACTTAGATACTCCATTGTTTGGGGCATATATATTTATAACTGTTATGTCTTGTTGATATATGGTTCCCTTAAGCAGAATGAACTATCCTTCTTTATCCCTTTTGATTAACTTTGGCTTGAAGTCTATTTTATTTGATATAAGGATAGAAACCCGTGCTTGCTTAGATAGGCCATGTGAATGGTATATTTTATTCCAACCTTTCACATTCAGTCTGTGGGTGAGATGAGTCTCTTGAAGGCATCATACTTTTGAGTCTTCTTTAATCCAATCTACCAGTTTATGTCTTTAGATTGGTGAGTTTAGCCATTAATATTTAGGGTTATTACTGAGATATGATTTGTATTACCAGTCATTTTTGTTTATTTTWAATATTTAGCTTGACTAGGTTTCTCCTTTGGTTAGCTTTTTCTTTATTGTAGTTCTTCCCTTTGCAGAATTTCATTGTTGCTTTTTCATTTCCTCCTCGTGGAATATTTTGCCAGAATGTTCTGTAGTGCAGGGATTTCTTGCTGTAAACTCTTTTAGCTTTTGCTTATCATGGGTTTTTTTTTTTATTTCATCATCAAATTTGAAGGTTAATTTTGCTGGATATAAGATTCTTGCTTGGTATCCATTATGTTTTAGAGATTGGTATATGTTGTTCCAGGATCTCCTGGCTTTGAGAGTCTGGGTTGAAAAATCTGCTGAGATCTGAATCAGTCTTCTCTTATAGGTAATCTGATTTTTCTCGCTTGCAATCTTTAAAATTCTATCCTTATTCTGTATGCTAGGCATTTTCATTATAATGTATCTTGGTGTAGATCTGTTGTAATTTTGTACATTTGGTGTCCTATAGGCCTCTTCCAATTCATTCTTTATGTTTGGGAAATTTTCTGATATTATTTCATTGAAGAGATTGTGAATAACTTTGGTTTGAATCTCTGAACCTTCCTCTATCTCAATAAATCTTAAATTTGGTCTTTTGATGGTATCCCATAATTCTTGGATGTTCTGTTCATGATTTCTTACCGTCTTCACTGTGAGGTCAACTTTATTTTCAAGAYTGTATATTTTGTCTTCATTGTCTTCTAAGTGATCTAGTCTGTTGGTGATTCTCTCTATTGAGTTTTTAAATTGGCTTATTGTTTCTTTCATTTCAAGATTTCTGTTTGGCTTTTTTTTTCAGTAGTTCTATTTCTTTCTTGAAGTAATCTCTTGCAACCTGTATTTGCTCTCTTATCTCTTTGTTGGTGAGATCCTTTGCCTAAATTTGTTCTCTTATCTCTTTGTTGGATTGATTGATTTTTGCCTGTATCTGTTAACTTAGGTCATTCTTTGATTCCCAAATCATTTTAGTTATGTATATTATGAACTCCTTCTCTGACATTTCACCTACTTCATTATCTATGGATTCAATTGTTGTAGTATCTTGGTTTGTTTGGGGCACTTTCCTCTTTTGTTTTTTCATGATGTCTGTGTGTCTTCCCCTCTTGCAGTGTAGATCTGAGGTATTACAGCTTCTGCCCTATGGTCTTATAGTGTCCCTGCGGGTTACCAAAACCACACTTTTAAGGGAGAGATCAATATTACAGCACTCATTGTATCCAACATGCAGCCTTATATCAGTTAGCTTCTATTTTTACATTTATAGTTTTGATACTATAATCAGAAATGATGATTTTGGTTATCTTCTACCATATAGTCAATAGTTTTGCATAATGGTATACAGTTTCTGATGGTGGAAGGAGGGATTTGAGGGTTAGCTGAGATGTTTATGAGGTAGAATGTGAGAATATGGAGATATTAGATTATATGATTAGTGAGAGGGTAATCATAAAAAGCTGGCTGTTAGTAAGAGAAACAAGAGATAGGCAACTCCATGCAAGACTTCCTGTTTACTTCAGCAACAGGATAACTGTTAGCAACACTAGTAGAGAAAACTTTGGTGCAGCCAGGCCACTGGGACCTTGGTGACGTCTTACCAGGTCGTTATTTTTGTCCCTTGACAGAAGCCTTGCCAGTTTCATGGCTGTGGCAGCCTCAAGCCTATATGTATCCTGGTATTGGACTGTGGAGCCATACTTTGGTGAAAAAGTAACTCCGGCTCCCTGTGCAGCCGCAGGATGGCTCTCCCTCTGGAGCTCTGGGCCACAGTGGCCCAGTTTGGAGAAAGTTTAAAAGTCAGGAAGCAGAAATTGTAAGGATGGGACCTACAGTGGACTGAGCATAAAATCAACCTAGTCAAGAACAAATAAATTATGTTTATGTGAGGCTAATTAGGATTACAATCCAGGAAAACATAGAATATAACTCTTGAAAATGTGCTCTCTTCACCATTTACTTTTTTTTAAAAGAGAGAGAGTTTTTAAATATTTATTTTTTAGTTATCAGCAGACACAACATCTTTGTTTTGTATGTGGTGCTGAGGATGAACCTGGGCCACACGCATGCCAGGCATGAGCATTACCACTTGAACTACATCCCCAGCCCCTTACTTTTTATCCTTTGGATTGTAAAGAACTTTCCCTAGCACCTAACTACTGTCCTTTGAAATGCAAATGCACTTTGAAGACCTTAGGTTAGTCTTCCTTATGGCACTCAGCTTCTGCAAACATACCTCCCTTCCCCCCAAAAAAAGTGTTTTGCAGAAATTCTTGCTAAGAGTCTAAGAACAATTATGGTGAGGGTCTCTGGAGAACCTTAATTAAGATTTTCTGTGGATGAGGGGGATACCACTACACGATGTGGCAACTATTAAACTCTGCTTTAAAGCAGTTGTAGAAAATGTGTTAGGTTTTCATTGCTGTGACCAAATTCCTGAAAAGAGCAACTTAGAGGAGGAAAAATTTATTTTGGCTCATGGTTTCAGAGGTTGAATTCATGGTTGGCCAACTCTGTTGCTTTGGGTCAAGATGATGCAGAACATTATGGCAGAAGGGCATGGTGGAGAAACACTACTCCACTCATGGTGTTCAGAAAGCAGAGCCAGAGGAGGAGCTGCAGGGAAGATGTACCCTTCCAGGGCATGTCCCATTGACCTACATCTTTCCA